TCGACGAGATCACCCGGCTGATCGCTGTGTTGTCCTGCTGCTGTTGTTTTCGTACGTGAGGCTCGGTTCACCTTGGCTACTGCCGTGGCCTGCGTGATGGCCTCAATGTTCACCTCCCTGATCCTTCTCTCACGGTTGTGGTCGGACGCTCCCACCCGCTTTTCGTGGTCTGGTGCCGGGAGGTCTGGGAGGCGTGCCGGCTGTCGGCCATATTGTGCATGATATGGCGATACGACGTTCTAGAACGTGGACACACAGCCGACAAACAGGCCCTCGCGTCGCAGCCGCGAGAACAACAAAGGAATTTGTAGTCGTTTGAAGCCAGGAGGCCAAGAGGGCCCCGAGAAGCTGAGATGGCCCCCGGGGGCCACGAGGCCCGATGGCTTGGGAGGGCCCCGAAAGGCCTAGAGGGTCCCCGGGGCCCCCCCAGAGACGCGCGCGACGACGACGACGACGACGACGACGACGACGACAACGCCAGGTTGTGCTAACTGCCCTCCTCCTGCTCCTCCTCCTGCTCCTCCTCCTTCTCCCCCCCATCCTCCCCCCCCTTCTCCTCCTCGCTCCCCTGGTCCCCAAGCTGTGCTAACTGCCCTCTTCTTCCTCCTCCTCCTCCTCCTCCTCCAACTGGGCCCCGGAATCTAGAAAATGCTTACCCACCCCCGCCCCCCCGAAAAAAAAACATCGGAAGTGATTGCACAGTCGGCGTCGATTCGTTTATTTTTTTGGGCCAGCGCAGAAGCCACCCGCCCCGCCGTCATCTTCATCCGTGCGTTTTCTCTTCAAATAGAAGCCCCGGACACCTGCGCCCATGAGCCCGCCGCGATAGCGGTTGCACTGGGGAGTTGGGTCGAATTCGCGGTCGGAGCAGCGGGGGGTTGTATACGGGAAAGTGAAAAGAGTTGGCCGAGTAAAAAAATAATTGAAACGTTCCAGTTTCGAGTGGCTGAGCCTTCTGAATCTCGAGCGTTGGGCTGCGCTGTTGCGGCGCGCGCGAGCCATCACTTGCGCGGCTGGTCAACTGTCGGCGTAGGACCTACGCCGTAGGTCCCGTCGCCCTCTGCGCCCGCGCCGTCGCCGGCCGCCTGCGCCTTCGCGGCGCTCGTGTTCTTGCCCGTCGCGCCGTCGCCCTCTGCCACCTGCATGGCGATGTAATCGTTGTCGGAGACGTCGCCGTCCTTAGCCGCCTGCGCGGCCGCGCCTGCGAGTTGATCACAGGATCGTCGACCTCGTCGGCCTCGGCCGCCGACGAATCGTGCATCATGGCAACGTTATCGCCCGCGCTGCTCTCGCTGTGATATGGCGAGCGGCCATGCTCCTCTCTGCGCCCGTTCCTCCGCAGCCACTCGTTGCCCGACACGCAACCGACGTCCCAACGGCCACTGAACCTGCTGCGCCACGGGCACGTCCAGCACTGTCGAACACGGCGCCGCACTGGCTCGTAGGACTCACCATCTTCAGCTAAACTACGAAGCTGGTCGATGTAACGGTCCGCTGCGCGTGTTGCTGTGTCCATGCCGACTATCTAGGGCCACGCCGCGCAATGTTGGCGAATTGAACCAGACCTCCCTGGGCGTGACTCATAACAGCGTCTAAGGTGGTCCAGGACGGCTCCAACGAGGGCCCTAGAAAGCCAAAGATGGCCTCCTCCTCTTTTTCTGTTGTTCCTCCTCGTGATCCTCCTCCTCCACCTCCTCCTCTTCCTCCTCCTCCTCCTCCTCTTCCGCCTCCTCCCCCTCCCCTCCCCCTCCTCCTCCTCGTCCTCCTCGACTTTCTCCTCCTACCCCCAAGCTAATCCCAGCAGGAGCACCATCACCAGCAGGAGCACCACAAACAGCAGCACCAGCACCAGCACCAGCACCAGCACCAGCAACAGCAAAAACAGCATCAACAGCAGCAGCACCAGCAGCAGCATCAGCAGCAGCCCGGTAGCACTACCAGCACCTGAGAAATTTCGAAACGCACGCGAGTTTTATATACAAATCAGCGCAAGGGCTACAATCGAAGATGCCCACCGAAATGCGACTCAAATCTGCGCAACATTGGCGTCGGATCGTAGATACAGCAACCTGCGCCAGAGACGCTTACCACAGGGAACACCATGGCGCATCTTGCACTGAGTTCAACCCTGAACGGCACTGCGGAAAACTATGTGAAGTCCTTGTTCTCTGACTCAGGGTACTGCCCACCCAATTCTGACGCTTCCAAAACGGCTGTGCGACCGCGTGCTTCCATGCGTCCCTGATTAACCGACTCACCTGGTAATCGTTTCTAGATGGGCTGGTGGGGACACGCGAAGCGTCAATAATAGCTTCGTAAAAACCTTCCGAAAACCTCCCTCAGAAGGGTTGTGTGGAAGACCCTTCCTAAAAACCTTCCTAAGACCTTCCCCAGGAGGGCTTGTTGGAAGAACCTTCTTAAAAACCTTCATGAAACCTTCCTCAGCAGGGTTTTTGGTGGAAGAGCCTTCCAAAAAGCCTTCGGAAGACCTTCCTCTGGAGGGTCTTTGTTGGAAGAACCTTATTAACAGCCTTCCTAAAACCTTCCTCAGGAAGGTTGTGTTGGAAGAACCTTTCTAACAACCTTCCAAAATACCTTCCTCAGGAGGGCTTTTTGGAAGAACCTTGCTGAAAACCTACTCTAAAACCTTAATCCGGAGAGTCGTTTTGGAAGAGCCTTCCTAAAAAACCTTCCTATGACCTTCTTCAGGAAGGTTCTGGTTGGAAGAATTTTCCAAACAACTGTCCTAAGACCTCCCTCATAAGGGTGTTGTTTTGGAAGGGCCTCCCCACAAACCTTTCTAAACCTTCCTCGCGAGGTTTTTTGTTTTGGAGGAGCCTTCCTAAACACCTTCCTCAAACCTTCCTCAGGAGGGCTTATTGGAAGAACCTTTATACAACAAAACCTGCCTAAAACCTTAACCGGGAGGTTTTTTGCAAGGGCCTTTCAGAAAACCTTCGGAAGACCTTCCTCAGGAGGCTTTGTTAGAAGAGCCTTCCTAAACACCGTCCTACAACCTTCCTCAGGAAGGTTTCAGGAGGGGTTGGCCGAATTGCCGCACCCAACTGACGTCTTACCAACCCTTGATTTCACTGCATGCTCGTCCCCATCCATCATCAGGACAGCTCGTCTGGGCATCGTTTCTGGATGGGCTGGTGGGGTTGCTTCTTTTTTGTTACAGCAGCCGCAGGCGAGAGCGCCGGCGGCGAGTAAGGTCCAAGCGGGCCGCGCGAGAGCCTAATTGCCTAGCGCCGACGGGCCGACTGCCTAAGCGGGCGGGCCGGCAGGAGGGGGGTGCGGGCTGCAGCTGCCAGGTACCAGGCACAGTGCCAACCAGGAAAACTGGTGGGGTTACGCGAAGCGTCTAGCATATACCCAGCTCAGTTGCGAAATTGGTCATTATGCTAGGTTTTGCTGGTGGAATCCTCACAAGGGTTATCTGGATATTGCGGGATTTGTGTGGTTATTCAATGGTTTCTTCATTAGCTTAGCATCCCAGGCCGACGATTCCCACGCCGACTAAGTTTCGAAATTACTGGTGTGTTTAGTTGTTCCCGGAAATCTTACAAGGATGTATTTAGATTTGTTTGGGATGTGTTTGGCTTCCCAATGACTTCCCACATACTCGAGTTTCCCATGCCGACGACCCTCAGGCTGTCTAAGTTGCGAAATTGTGTGGTACTGTTTTGTTGGGGTAACCCTCAAAATTCTGATCTGGATGTTATTTTATTGATGGGGATTTTCAGCGGTTTAAAGCCTCGGTTGGCGAGCGAAGTGGACGTAGTGGGAGGAGTTGGAGCGAATGAGGAGAGTGAAGATGTGGAGGAGGAGGAGGCGGAGCGTCGCCGAGGGAAAGTCTCTCCTTACGTGTGCCCTCGCTCGCGCCGCCGCCACGACGAGGAGGAGGAGGAGAATGAGGAAGATAAGGAGGAGGAGGATGAGGAGGAGGATAATGAGGAAGATAAGAAGGAGGATAATGATTAGCAGGCTGGTAACATCAGTGCCAAATGCCTCGGCGGCCAGTCATGTCGAAAAGACGAAAGATCAGACCCAACGTCCTTCTCCTCCTCCTCGCCATCATTTGCCATCCCCCCCTTCTGCACCAGCCTCTGCTATCACTCCGCCTCGTCACCATTCTCCTCGTCCTTATCATATTTGCTCCTACTCCTCCCACCTCCTTCGGCTCCTCCTCCTCCTCCCACCTCCTTCTGCTCCTCCTCCTCCTCCTCCTGCTCCTCCTCATCTCCTCTTCCTCCTCCTCCTGCTCCTCCTCCTCACTCTCCACATTTTTCGCTCGCAGCGCATACGAGGTACTCGCGGTCACTGTGTGCGCATTCGGTAGTTAGCGCTGCCAGAAAACATTATTATGTGTCGTCGTCACGGCATATGCTTTCGAACATCGCGCATGCGAAAACACACAGCCCACCGGCCACCGAACAACCCATGACCTAGTAATAGTCGGTAATAGTGGTAATAATCTGATTAAACAGAAAATGGAAAATATACTTCCGGAGGTCCGCACAAATTTCTTGGGTCGCCGCTTGACCCCCCTGGCGACGCCTCCGGCGAGCTTCGCGCGCCAGGGCAGAGGGGCCCAGCGCCGGCCTGAGAAATCAGCGACAGTTGATGTTTTTGCAACCTGTTGTTTCTCGATCACCCCGTCCCGCTCTCCATCCCTCGTCTTCACAAAGCCGTCCATGGCGGCAGCGCAACCAAAAACCGACCGAACCGACAGCAAAGCCGAAACCGACCGAGCGCGATTCTACCCGAAGCTGCCGAAAAGAACGCAACGCCGCGTCGACGACGCAACAGCCGGCCGAACCGAACAGACCGAATGCCGCCGACCGCGACGCGGCCGGACCGACCAAACCGCGGACACCCTTGCGGCAAGGGTGTCCGCGGTTTTATGAGAAGGCAGGGTAGGCAAGGAGTGGCGTGGCTCCTCAGGTAGGCAAGGGCCTTGCCTACCTGAGGAGCCACGGTGACAGGGGCGAATGCGCCTGCCCCTGGGGCGACACCTCTGGCGGCTCCGCCAGCCGCGCCTGGAGCAGCCAGACGAACTCGAGGTCCGCCAGCTCGGCCCCGGGCGGCTCTGGCAGCTCCTCTGCCGACGACGGCAACGAAAGCGGTGGCAAAGGCGGCGACGACGACGGCGACGGCGGGGACAAAGGCGGAGACGGCGACGGTGGCGGCGGCGGCGGGGACGGCGACGGTGGCGAAGGCGACGGCAAAGGCTGCGGACGTTGGGGCGGGCGCCGCCGACGGCTTGCCCTTCTTTTCCTCCTCCCCCTCCCCTCCCTCCTCCACCTCCTCCATTTCCTTCCTTCTCTTCCTCCTCCTCCTCCTCCTCCTCCCCCTCCTGATCAGCATCCCCACCTTCATCCTCATTGTCATCCTCAGCATCACCATCACACTCACCCCATGAGAATCACCACCAGCATTACTATCATCACTATCATCATCATGGTCATCATCCGCATAATCGTATTCATCACCAGCATTATCATCCATATCATCATCACCATCATCATCAGACTCAGCAGCATCATCACCGTCCAGCATAACCCATCGTAACCAATCAGCATCATCATCATCATCATCGTCATCGTCGTCGTCATCGTCATCGTCGTCGTCATCATGAGCATCATCACCACCATACTAATCACCATCGGCATTACCATCATCATCTTCATTAGCATCGGCATCATCATCATGTTCACCACCATCATTATTAGCAGCATCATCAAACACCGTCGTTATCATCATCATGGTCCGTCATCATCCAATTCATCACCATAATCGTCACCATAGTCATCATCACCATCATCAGCATCATCATCCTCATCACCAGCACCATCACCACCATAATCACCATCACCAGCATCATCAGCATCAACATCATCATCAGCACCGGCATCAACATCATAATATCGCTTGTTGTACAGAAGCGGCGATGCATCTTCAAATAACGCTGCGGCAGCTCGAAGCGGACGAATAGGGCGACAGACTAAGATAATAAATTAATTGCTTGAAACCTGACTCCTGGACGCGGGGGGGGGCGCAGCTTGACCCCTAATGGCAAGAGGTGAAACGGGCGACATAATAAAAGAAGAGCTTGATTCCTTGAAACCTGACTCCCAAATCAGCCCAACAACTGATGTTCTCATGCGCAAGGAAAAACAAACGGGGGCCGCGTGGCCCTAGTCTGGGCTGAGAGAACCTGTACTAATGAAAGAGGGCACGCTTGTGCGATGCGGGTCCAGTTGACCCCGCCCGGGGCATGCCCTTCGAGGGTAAAGTGAGCCTTCCCACTTCGCGAACAAACCCCGCGACCCTGACACCGACGACGCAAACGCTGGAGGTGGAGCTCATCTACTCGCCCGCAAAGAAACCTTGTGGTTTTCCTCCACCCGGTCCCACACTGACCAATCAGACGCGGCCTGGAAAACCTCTGGACCACTCTCGAGCCCCAAGACAGCGGACGCTTAACAAATATAAGAGGAATGCGGGTTCTCTATTATCCACGGCACATGTGACTTCTGACACTCACGGGCGATCCGAACGGCAGCTCTCATGAACCTGTTTCCCACATCAATCTGCCGTTGATATGTTTCGCACAAATCGGGAACACCCATCGGCCACTCCGCGGCCCTCAACGTCTGCCGCGGTGCCTCGCAATACTGAACGTCGCGCAAAGGGGCCCCATCGTGACTCCGAGCACTTTCCCAGCCCGTGCGTCACCGAGACTGCCCCTCGTCACCTCCGGCCGCAACGCGCCCCCCCTGGCACCGTTCACAAGGTCAAAGTGGCGCGTTAGAAACCCGCTCAACTCGGCCGCCAGCCCGCAGCCGTCTTCCCCGCGGCCCCTGGGCATTGGCACGGTCCGCCCGTGGATCAAGATGCCCTCGAGCTGCCCCTCGCAGTCGGCTGCGTGGTTGAGCAGCCACTGGGGATGGAGCGACGCGGAGTGGCTCAGTCGGGTGGCTTTCTCGTAGCGCACCGCTGACTTGTCCGTTCGCCACCCTCCGCGCCGCATGACATATGCCGAGCTTCGTTCGTTCGACGCCCGATCGATGCCGGTCCCCGAGCGGCGCGTCTGGCACGGCGCCAGCTCCTTGAGGCCCAGGATCATCGCGGCCTCGCTGAGATTCGTCATGCGCTCGAACCCTGAGGCCCGCGTTGCAGCTTCTCCAACAGCGGGCTGCACCGCTAACCACTTCGAGCCCATTGCCAAGGACAGGTCGCATTCCCCAGTCTTGCTCGGGCGATGCAGCTCATCGGGATTGATCCGCAACGTCCACCGCCGATTTCCCTGCCTGTGAGGCCGCTGGATACACTCGGGCATTAGTCCCAGCAGCTGCGCAGGCCGCAAGTAGGTAGGCTGATCATCGCGAGAAGCGCCATCTGCGGCTGCCCCAGCAGTATCAACCAGTTGCAATGCGCGCACCAGATGCTGAACGGCTCGGGCCCCCGCGATCGCGGCGGGCAGAGGCGGCGCCAACCGCGCGGGCTCCTCCAGGAGCGGGGCAGCCTGCGATCCACGATCCTGTTGTCGGCAGGTACAAGATGCATCAACCCGGCGATGAGATGCATCCCTTTGCTCGGCTGCTCGCCCTAAAAGCACAGCGCTTCGAAGTAACTGGCGAGATTTTCGCCCGCGTCGCCGGCGTCGAAATCGTCGAGCTGCTTTACCTCCGCGCCCAGCACTTCCATGAGATAGTCGATCTTCGCTCGCGCTGTCGCCGCGCGGCCCCCCAGGAGGGCACCCCCCGTGTCGCGCGAGGCCATGCGCTCCGAATGGCATCTTGACCAGCGATGCTTCTGTCGGCGCTCCAGCACGCGGTCGCGGCCTGCCTCGGCCACGCCCGCGCTCTCGGGTGTCCCACTCGAGAACGCGGTGGCTCGGGTCGGTCGCCCAGCGTCTTTTTCGGCCGCAGCGCTGGTGCTCTCCAGATGGTCGCACTCCACTGCTGCCAACTGCTCGGCGTCCAGGTGCGAGCGAGTCGGCGTCAGCGCCCGCTGCCGCTTCGACGGCCTCTCGGCCGCCGGCTGCGCAGCCGGCCAGCTCGCGGCCGGCGCCAGCGCTCGCGCCCGCCCGGGCTGCCTCGTCGCAGGATGGGCGGCAGGAGCCAGAACGCGCCGGCGACCTGCCGAGGCGCAGGGCGGCGCCCCAGCCATCAAGACTCTCGCGAATGGCCGAGGTCTGAAACAAAATGTTTGCGAAGCGGCGAGATGGGCCCAAATGCGCCACTTTGCTCTCGGGTTGCGAGCGGTCCGGGCTGCTACTCAACATGCCTAGAAATCCCCCCCCCCCGCGCCAGGGTCTGCGCGGCTGCTACTCAACATGCCTAGAAATTGCTGCTACCCCCCCCCCAGGGCCCGAAGATGGAAGTCGGCCCTCCTCCAGATGGCGGGCAAGCAAATTAGGGGCACTCAGAAAAGGCATCACATGTTCGACTGGGCTCATCCGAATTGTTGAGCTCACTGGGGACCCAACGCACAATGGCTTTAATGTCATGGGGGAGGCAGTGCGCGGCAAACGCGCGGATCTGGCTCAACAACCGAAAGTCTCTGCTCCTAAATCGGTCGAAACTCGAATGCGCGCTCACGTTGTCAACAAGAAAACGCTGGCGCACATCTTTTCCGAACGAGCTCGGCGCAACCGTCCGCGGCGACGTTGCCAGCGCTCAAGCCGCATGGATCAAAATAGGTTGATCCAACTTCCACGCGCCCCAAAACCGAGGCACCCGGCGACTGTGAGCCAGGCAGCTCGCGGCGATCTCGGGGAAGCTCGGATCGGCGTCGCACTCGCCCAGCGCCATGGCTGACTCTAGGCCGTCGAAGTCGTCGACGGGCAGCTCGACCTCCTCGGCCGGCGGCAGCCCCGCGAACTCCCGCGGCCGCCGGGGCATGCCCCCATGCCCGCGCCGCGCGGACATCGCGGAAGCGGCCCCCCTCGCAGGTGCGCCCCGCGGCCTTCGCCCCCCCCATCGCTCCAATAGCTTGTGGAGATATCAAATCCCCAATCCGAGCCGTCGCTAGCGCCGGCGACCCCGCTCCACTTTGGCCAATCGGAGCACAAGACTTTCCCACATTCAATGCAATTTGAAATGCCACGCTCCATCCTGCGCCACTGCGAAACATCTCCACTCGCGGCAAAAGCGGCCACGAGCATCTGCGAACTCGCCCACGACGGGGGGCTAATAATAATGGCGACGTCATCAAATACGAGCTGGCTCCACGAAAAAGCAAGGCGCGAAATTAATCGATGCGTCGCGCTAAGGATACATAATTGAACGAGCGCGTGTTTTGGGTGATTGCACGAAAGTCACGACACTCGTAGGTGTTGCCGATTTCGCTGGCTTGATTTAGGGCGGGGTTTTCGGACTCAACCGACTCAGCCTGTTTGTGCATCATCGTCATCATCATCGTCGTCATGATATTCATCATCGTCCGCGTCATCGCCATCATCATCACCATCTCCTCATCATCGCCATCATCATAATATCCATCATCATCCTCGTCATCGTCATCATCATGTAGTGATGATGATGATAAAATCAAGACCCGCATGACGATGATGGCGGCGTGAACATGTTGATGTTGATGATGATGATGATGACGACGATGATGAAGTCGATGATTGCGATGATGATGGCGATGAGTATGATGATGCTGACGATGATGAGGATGACGATAACCTTCTTTCGGACTGCGCGGGCCGTGCTGAGTACTAATTGGAGAGCCCCACAGCCTCCGTGGAAGCGGGCCACCGCATTTTGTCAAGCACCTCCGTGAGGTCGGGCAGCGCCACGGGGACCCGTGCCAGGTGATCGGCCACGACGTGGTTCACGACGTTGAGAAGTCCTTCGGGCCAGGCGTGGCGTCGATCCTGCGCGCCCTGAACTCCCGAAAGACGTCGGAGCGGATCATGACGGCGATCTGCAGCCTGCTGTCGTCTACGCGCTGTTGCAGCTCGTGGTGGGTCGCGAAACAGTCCTGGCAGTCCGCGGAGGCGTGGTGGTGCACGTTGTGCTCGAGGGAGGACAGGGTGCCCATGTAGAAGGACCCAGGCTTTTGCTCGAGGGTGACGACCCTTCCG